GGTCTTGAAAATGTCCTTTCAAAGACATACATCATCTCTGAGATGAGTTTTCATATTGTGCAAGGATAGTAATAGTTATGGTGAAGTGTACAAAATCGCCCAAGTCTCCATCACTATATAACATCATTAGTCAATGTCTTCTTTTGTCCCAGCACTGATCAGTCATTTCTAACTCCTCACTGTGTAGTGTCAGGGTGGGGCAGGCAGCTCAGTCAGAAGACAATCTCTTCATCACATCATATGTCTAGAAACAGTAGATATGACTGTTTTCTGTATGACAAGTTATTCATTGCGAATTTGTGTATATTTTGGAAGGATGCCCTGTCCTTGGTGCTGAAATGNTTTGGCGTGATGTCCACTTAAGTTGGTTTACTCGGGCCGTTGTCGCCACATCGTTTCCAAGAGTGGTGTTTGATGTCAATATCTGTAAATTAAATTAAAACCCACCACAGAATCACTCTGTTTTCGTTTTCTAGTGTAGTAATACTCTCTAAGCAGAGGTTTGGGTTTTGGCTTACTTTTGACGTGTTTTTAGGTTTTTTATCGGGCTTCCTTTTTGGATTGGTATTTTCTTTTTGGAGTCGGCGTAAAAAAGAGAAAGCCCAATAAAAAGCCTAAAAACACGCAAAAAATAAGCCCAAACGCAAACCACTGCTTGGAGAGTAGTGATTCAATACCTTGTCTCTTCTTACGCTTTTAACCTGAAACTTCGGAATTTTGCTTTACTAATCAAAATCTATATGGTAAAAAATGAATAACACATCTAATTTTTCTATTTAAATTCGCATTATGAACTACTAGACTGACAGTAACTATTACGCACAGGGAACTGAATTCTGTAAACCCAACTGGCGCCAAGTCCCAAGAAGTTACCGATTTCCGAACTAGTGTAGGACTTCGTTTCTCTCTACTCTGCCCACACCGTGTACATACATGTACATGTACTAGTACTACCATGGTGGTAGAAAATCTCTTTTCTATCTCCATGGTACTAGTACTAGTATTTCATTTTCGCCTATTGACCTGGAAGCACGGTGTGTAGCAGAGTTCACAGGTTCTACTAATCTCAGGTTGTTGGACGTCTTGACGACCACTTGTCAAACCCACCGCAAACAAACGCTTCGTTAGCGTCAATTACCAGTCTTCACACCTCCTAACGACCGCATGGGACGATCTGTAACGATTTGCAAACAGAACTTAGCAGAATGTTTGACTACGCTGTCGCCTGAATTGCTCAACTGGAAGTCAACGACCGAAAAAGAAGCATACATGATTGATCAGCAAAACGGATTTCTCTCCCCTAGCTTGAAGCTACTAATATGCCCCAGCCAGCTAAATTGAGATTACTAACCTCGTACACCTATTATGCAGCCAATTTAGAAGTGCTTCCATCATCAATTGAAAATGTTATATATATCAAGGACATTATACTGTGTATAATGTCCTTGGTTATATCTAACCAATATCTTCGAATGAGAGATATCCCATTTTCTGACAAAATGCCTCTCAACCAAAAACTTGAACAGCAACAAAAACCTGGATCGTGCAAACGCTAGATACCATGCCTACCATGTTGTGCCTACACAACATCTTTTGCCTATGAATATGTTTTATTTTTCCAGGGAGGTTCTATTTTAAACCTTGATATTTCCTATGAAGCAGATCGAGAGGATCGTAAAATTAGTGAACCTTTTTTTTTCTTTTACACAGGGGGGGGGGGCATTTTTTTCAGTCATGTTCACTTCCCGCAACTTGTTTGTTTTCTTTACATTTAACTTTCTCATGGTGCAAGCTGTTTTAACAATTTTTGATTAATTGACTGCGCTTTGCATTTATATTTCTTTCTCCTTTACACCAATCAGACTGCCATTGTTATGGATGAGGCGGCCATATTGAAACCCCGAGGTTTTGAGACCACTGTGCAACATTTAGACACCGATCGCAAGAAATGGGCTTTTCATATTCAAAAGTCTCGGGCATTTCAAACGACGAAATCACATGGGAAAGTTCGCACAAGTCTCATTTTTTGTGGACAGAGAAATAACGGGATTGTTACAAATGAACTGAGAAGTACAATCATAATAGACTGATCCAGGCTGTCCTGTCGAAACATTGACATTCAAAAAGTGACAAAATATTTTACTAATTCTAGAGAAATAAAGGCCCTGGAGAAATTTGTGTTGTCACCGTGAGCTAGTACTGTTCATCAAAATGTGTGTAAAAGTAAGTCCTTGGTAAACGCAAGGAGACTTTAAAAATAATTTTTAAACCTCGTTGGTGAAAACAAGTTTAAGGAAGTAAAGGCACAAAGAACTCAGTGGTCTTTTGACTATTCAAAGTGCAGCCTTTTTAAACCTCCTTGGTGCAGCTATGGCCAGTGTACATGGATGTGTATTGTTGGTTCAAAGACGACATGTTTTTACCACCTATTGTATTGTATCTAGCGGTTTGTCTCGCGTTGAACTTTCAAGACGGCTCGTCTGTTCTGTCTCACCTGTTGATGTCGGTCCTTTGATCGTTTCCCTCAGGTGAGAATGAGGTGTCACAGTACTGACAGCGCGTGGGGGCAATCAGCGGTTTGCCACTGGGGTGTGGGGATCAAAAATCAAAACATAACAAGCTTTGTGCAGTTGTCGTTTCTTAATAGCGGCCCGTCCTTAATATGCACGCTCCGCATTGAGCTTGTTTATACAATTGCCAGGGTGGGAATTGATGTCAACAGTAATTGTCGTGCGTGAATTTGTGGTAGCAGAAAACACGTGTGTCCGATAGGGTATACTTGTAAGCATGGTAGTGTATTTTGGGTGGCGAAAGAAAACCGTGAAAACTGAAAAAGCTTTCGCCGGCACGTCCAACAAACAAAGACAACTTGTTGGAAGAGGGTCAGCAAACAAAACCAATGGGGAATACACTCAACATAAACCAACCAGCTAATAGACCGTGGTAGATCGTCAGCAGATGTTATGAATGTGGCACCATCATTACACACAAACCTAGAGGCCTCCTAAGACTATAGATAGGTAAAGTTTTATGTCGAATGTACGGTGATCTGACATACGCCCCCCTCCCCAAACCTCGACCGCGATAGCACCTGTTGATGAACACCTGACGGCCGGGCTGTGCGCGCCTGCGGCTCGGGCTGACAGGCCGCCTCCCCCGGGTAACATACATCCTTCCACCCCGGGGATTCTTCAGGGGGAAATACCATCTGGAAATGAAGCTCAGGGGAAATTAGAAACAAATGGAGGTCAGGTTGTACGTGTCTTCTGTGGTTACGGGTGGGAGGGGGGCTTATTTAGGTCGGAAGGTGAGATTGGAGGTGGCCGCGCGAAAGTTGTTGTTCCTCCTCCATACTCAGTTCGTTGGGGGATTACATGGCCTCACGCGAGTTCGCCGCTTTACATTGTATAAAGTTGAGTGAAAACACATGTCTAATTCTACATTCACGGCATGAGACTTTAGCACTCACCATTATACCCATGCCCTGTCTCCAAAACATTAAGGACTCATATTGATTTGTTGTGCCGATCCGGCTTTACCTTTGGGCAATTAGCCGCAGATTGGTACCCGAGAACAGTTATTTATTATTATTATTATTATGTCTCCAAAATTGTTAGTGATTCTCCAGGGCCCGCTGATTCTCGGCCCGCCCAAGAGATTGGAAAGTTTTCAAAAGTTTTCAAGTTTAGATTAACTTCTTTACGTTAGCTGAAGAGAAAAAAAGTAGTTTTGAAAAAGATTCCTTGTTTCATCATTTGGAAATGTGTGTTGCATGTGTTAGGACACCAAAACGATCAGATGCGCTCCGCCAAATGTGCCCCTCGGGAGCCCGAGAACAGCTGCAGGAGGGTGTAGCCTCGGGAACAGCCTTCCGGAAGGATGTTTGTTACCTTGAACTTTTGTTACATTCAAAAGTGGTCAGGAAAGCTATGACGCGATGTAGAAAAAAAGCCTGGACATGGGCTTTTTGAGGGGATACAACCATTTTTAGCCCCGTCCAAAGACAATCGGACGAAAACGTATTAGCCACCTGCCGATGCATTTTAGAACCAACCACATGGACGATTCACAGTACATCATGATTGAACAAAAATAAGAAGAGGGCGACTGTACCAAATAAACTACTAATATTCAGGGGCAGCATAGTAAAGCAAAGAGTTATTTAGATGTTGACTTTGTTTGGTGTGTAACCATAAAGTTGAAAATGCCTGACAGCTGTTTTGAGTTCTTATCTAAGAATTCGCCTGAAATGGCTAAAGAACAAGTTACACCAACAAAGAAAACTCTTTTCCTCTCGCTGTAAATCTGAAAAAAAATCGCTTTTTCTTTTCTCTTGCCTCCTTGGCTGACCAATGCCCGCATGTTCACACACTGTTGCCGTGAGAAATCCGCCTTTTTGGCGAGTGAGAAATAATCCAGGCGGGCCGGATGGAGCCGGATGGCCATGTTTGGGGATGATGGACAGGCGCAGCGGACGACAGGTGATAGTCGGACCACTTGTGTGAACCTACCACACACATGGACTTCTGTACAAATTACTTTTCCGTCTGCTTCTGCGGATAGAATATTGTGAAAATCTAGGTTTCGAAATCTCTTAAAAACTACTTTGGACCAATTGCAAGATTTCGTTGCTACAAAAGTAAGTTGTAATACGTGCATCACAACAATTTTGAAGTCTGAATGAAGGTTGTATTTGTAGTTCATGAAACCCCTTGTTGGAATGTTTATACATACATGAATAAATAAATTGCTGGATTAATGTGGGCAAGTCATCGATAGTATGTAATAGCTATAACTCTGAGCTATAACGGTAGCTCTGAAGAAAGTGGTATCGTTTCATATATACAGTAGCTTGTTAGTTTGTTTTTATTTCCACGAAACGCATACATGCAAATGCTACAAGACAAAGGATGCGCCTGGCCTCAGATCCATCTGTGGTATTGTTTTATCACTCAGACATGCTCAGCTGTCAATTGGCCGACTTTGCCGTATATTTAGCCCCGCCCGTGGGACCTCCATAAAAGATTCGCGCAATTTTGGGGCCGCCTCCTCAAATTTGACTAAAAAAGGCGGTCGGTGGTTGGTGTGTTGACCAATCAGAGCGTCTGGTTTGGACCCGCCCGGCCCTCGCGTGACGACACACGGACATACCGCAGGCCGGCCACTCAAAATAGCCCGACCGTCAGCCGGGAGAGACATTCTGACACTTGTTGCTCGTGAACTGCGGAAGCACAGTCTGCCAAGTTCCCAACTCACTGTTTCTCCACTGCGCGACGACGACTTCTACTGTTCACCATGCCGAGAGCTTTCCTCGTCAAGAGATTCAAGCACATCTGGGAGTCAGGCGAGCCCAAGGAATCCGAACAGGGCGAGATGGGAGGTAAGAAGGAGCACATTTTGTCCTGATTTTGGCACAGGCAGTGGTTATCTAGCCATGGGTGTTTACCTATGCAGTGTGTGTGACAGGACCCGGTCCAGTGGCTGTAGTTGATCCTGCCTCGGTGCGGACATGCTTGCATACCGTAGATCTATGTAGCTGAACCTCAGTGTTCTTATTCAAACTTTCAGCCTGGGGAAATCTTTACCAAGGTCGTAAAAATCTCGGAAAAATCGGATGGCATGTCCAGACGACGCGCCGCGGCCTGCCCTAACCAGTCCTGACCGTTACGTCTCCCGGCAAGCCGCGTGCCTGACATGATAGGAGCTGGCAAGGCTTGTTTTAAAGCTGATTAATTGGACCCATGTTATTTTTCAAGGGGTGGCTTGTAGGTCCGGACCATGTGTGGTATGGGCCAGGCTTCCTGGCTTCCCGGGGTCACAGGGCTACCAGACCGACCTTATCTGCAACACGTGGGTCGTTGTTCATTCTCCTCGGCCGCAAACTAAAATGTAGTTTTGTTCAAAGCCCGCGAATGAACATACATAGTGTAAACAATTTCATGGCTAAGGAAGTTCAAACAAAAACATTGCGGTTTTAGAAGTCAGGGTCTGAAAAGTAGCACATCTTTGCTTGCTTCGAAATAATTTTCGGGCCGTGGATAGCCTCTGGTTGCGATATCGCGATGGCATCCTTTCATCCTACAGATATCAAAAGTCATGGGCTTGTTATTCAGCGGATCTAACGCAACTTCCCTCCCTTCCCCCACATGACGTGTTCGTCTGTACAAAGTCTGTTTGACTAAACACTAGTTTCTGCACGGAACTTGGATGACGTCTGCCCATGCATTTCCGTGTTCTTGGATTTATGTCGTGTCTGTTACACATTTATGTATTGGGTTATTTTAAGTCAATAAAATCCTTTACAGGCCAAACTAAATCATAGGGAGGTTTCTCGGAAGTGATGTTCATATATGGCGACAAAACCTGAATATTCCTCATCGATAGTCTCCTATCTGAATTTGAAGGTGTTGGTCAAATTCGTCAACATTTCCATTTAGAACAACTGATTCCATTACAAGAAAACATCGCTCTGCGTCATGTAAACGATCGTCGTCCAAAAGCGTCGTCTGCGGAGATTGCCAGGGTGACAGGACCCTAAAAATAGCCCCCTCTGTCCGTGACGGTCCCGTGTCCGTATATAGTCAAAGTGATGATGGGTGATAGATCTGCGGTCATGTTTTTATAAATTATTTGTTATTTAATACCCACACCCCTTACAAGAACGCTGTTCTGTAGAAACATCAAAACTGAAACGACTTTTTTTCGCAACGTGTCGCTACCGCACATCGATATGATTGTTGAATATGTAGAAGCTGATCACCTTTGTTCTTCTCGTCAGTGAGCTAAGAATGACCCTCGTGGCGGATGACCACCTGTGCTGGTCACTTACAAATGGTCAATCCCCCACTAGTCTGGAATTCGCGGAAAAAAAACACTTCCCCAAACTGCGAGTCAGCTGTTCCATACAGACTCTATCATTCGGCTTGATATGCTGTCAATGACGTAATGGTAAACTTACTTCTTGGAGACGTACACAACACAAGACTAACATTGTGCGGCGATTCCTTAGACAGATTTTCTCAAGAAACACAAAACTTTGAGGTAACCTTGGCGGAAACCCAGGGGTGTGCTCAAAGGTAACACCGGCTGGGGTACGAACAAGACGTCTTTGTCTGGAGATGGCCCTGTTGCGGCTAAGGTTTCTCCCTTCGCCAATTTCGGTCCGGAAAGGTAGAAGTCTGATTTTGGGTCTGGGTTGTCTCCTGCGAATTGACTTCGAGTTTTATCTGGCCTTTTTCTGTGTGCCCAGATTGATAAATTCGCCTGTCGTTCATGTATAATATATTCATGAGAAAAACAGCTGACTCTACAAAAGTCTTAAAAAGTTGTATCCAGTTTTGCAAAATGATTGAGATATGTTCTAATTTTATTCCTTTGTGTCTTTTTCCTTTATTTCTGGTGGTAGCAAATATCGGTCAAATCTGTGATTATCGGAAAATTTATAAATTCCAGACTTCGACTTTTTTGTCTTATAACAAAGCAACAAATAAAGTCGTGCGGAACGTTTAAACGTCTTGAAAATCCTCCCATCCTATTGTATTATCTAATTCTTTCTTTGTGTCAGAAATCAGCTTATTTCTTTGAAGTCTGACGCCTCGACAGACATAGGAAAAACCACGCTGTGGTATTCGCCAGGACTGTTGTATGAGCTTGATTGGTTTATAATAGACTGTCTGGAGTGTCGGCCATTTTAAACGATTGTCATTGTGGAGCCATGGAAATGTGTATCAGTTTCTATTGTTCGTCTGTGATGGTCGAGGTGTCGCGACATGTCCCGCACAATGGAGCGGTGAAAAGACAGGAGTAACGACGTCTAATTGGAGGATAATGGCGGGACATCTTTGAGTCGGGCCATCCGGTCAGATCCACGGTCCCACGCGTCATTAGTGGGTTATGATGCCAAGATGATTTCTGTGCACATGCACAGCAATTTGCTCTTAGTCTTACCTAGAGAACACAGAAACCCGTTCAGATGGGAGACTAAAATATTTTGCGTCTGACCTAGTCTAGGTTGGAAAGACAAATGATTTTACCCTGGCCAGATGCAAATATATGTACGAAAACTAATTAACGAATACGTACAATTTACAAATGAATGAACTTTGAAGTTTACCGGAAGAATTTGTAGAAAAACACACATAAAACACGTATTCTCTATTTCCAGAAGCCCCTGAGCCGGTGACGTTGGTCCCCGTGGACTGGAGTAAAGGTTACCACCCCGTTCCCTTCTTCAACCCGCTGGGCCTGCCGCTTGTCGCCCCCCACCAGGACGACCCCAGCCGACGGAGTCCTGTCGAGAGCACCGCTCTGCCCCCCTCCCCACCCCCAGATGACCTCAAGATCAAGGTCAACGATGAGGACAACCTCAAGGGCGCTTCAACGCCCAATAAACCCAAACAGGTGAGTTCGTGTGTACATTATGTAACCATGAGTTTGTTGCAGAATGCATAGTTGGAGTGTTTTGTTTAGACTACACCGGCAATGTTAATCGTGAAACGGCCCTAATGCGCTCCGGTTACAACTGGTGGAAACAAACTTTCGCTTTTCATCGCTCGTTGAGCGCCCGTGAAATTGGAGATAAATTATATTGTTAGCTTTCCACTTTGCCCTGTTTGTTCCGCGTAAACACCGTTTAGTCTACTCGGGTTATGTGTGTTTATTTTCCACAGTAGTACACACAACACTAGGTGGAATGATTCGGCAATATACTTTGGTAAAGTGTCGCGGCAATGGTTTCTTTTACAATTGGTCGACTGAGTGCCGCACTAACAAAGTAACAACTCGCAGAGAGACCAAAAACAAACTGCTCTCTTCCGCCCGGGTTCTGTGACCATATAAAACCCGTGCTAATTGGAAACTCGCTAATCCCATGTGGCGTGGGGGCTCGCGTAAATAAACTCGGATGTCCGAAGATTACACCAACTCGAAACAGCACCGACTGTCGCCATGTTCTGGTTGGGGACCGACCAATGGTTAATATTATGGGGGTGTCAGCTTTTGCAATTTGGGGGCGGGCCATTGTAGAAATTAAGGGTGCTTGCCTGATCATCTGCGTCTCTATGTCAGAAGATTTTGGGATGTACATGTAATACCAAGAAAGTAATATTAAACGAAAAAGAGACTCAAATCTCCTTGATATTACAGCTTGGAGAGTAGATATTACGAGAGTTGGTCGAAGAACATAAAACGACCAACCGATTAGGAGTTCGAACTTCAATCAAAAGTAAGAAACAGCAACAACAACAACAAACCAATATAATTCTTCTTTTCCTACAGACAAAGACCAAGAGAGAGCGGTCGGACAGCGAGTCGTCCGTGAGTCCGCGGGGCGGAGAGACGCCGACCGGCCCGTACCACTGCCCGGAGTGCGGCAAGCGGTACAGTACGTCCAGTAACCTGGCCCGCCACAGACAGACGCACCGGGACCAGCAGGACAAGAAGGCCAGGAAGTGTCCGCACTGTGATAAGGTAAGGAACAGGACTTGCTGAAGTTTTCTATTGTTTTCCTGTGTGTTAGTTTCAGTAAAACTCCACGAGCGGGTCTTGGATACGCTTGAATAGATGTAGAAATAGATATGGAATATGATTAAGAATAGTCATTAAAAATTATCCAGACTTTCGCGGTCTTGAATTTTCAAACCTTTGTCAACATTTTACCGAATTAAGTCTATTTTCCATCTTTATTATAATTTTTATCAATTATGATGATATCAGTTCTGATAATTTCTATGTTGATGTGTTTCAGGTGTACGTGTCCATGCCTGCCCTGTCCATGCACATCCGCACACACAAGCAGGGCTGTAAGTGTCCGTACTGCGGGAAGTGTTTCTCCCGGCCGTGGTTACTACAGGGGCACATCAGGACACACACTGGTGAGGACACTCAGCTTCTTCATACAGAAATATTGTTTTTATCATCATGGTAGTTGTCTAATGGATGTATGTTTCAAGCAAAAAATTATCTATATGGTACGCGCAACGAACATTGACAAGACATAGTAGTAGGTACGATTGTAATATCTTATAGCACTTTGTAGCAAGTTAGATATTCATGCAATGTATGAATGAAACATTTTTAGTTTTCGCAAGTTGGATAGAAAAAGCTACAGTCTGTATATTCTGGTATTTTATGTCCAGAAATTTAATACTAACGGTGATTGTTGTTTGTTTCTTTGTTGTGTAGGCGAGAGACCGTTCGTGTGCCAGATCTGTGAGAAGGCGTTTGCCGACAAGTCCAACCTGCGGGCGCACACCCAGACCCACTCGGACGCCAAGCCCTACGTCTGCGGCCGCTGTGGCAAGGCCTTCGCGCTCAAGTCTTACCTGTACAAGCACGAGGAGAGTGCCTGTCTGCGGAGCACCAAGGTCACCAAGCCAGCAACAACCAGACAGGCACAGAGGCAGGGCACTGCGGACAGACGCGATCCACAGGCCCCCATAGCAGTACAGGGGTAGACCTGACCTTGAGTCAGATGGACAATGTTGTAAGGGCATGTAATAGTCCTGAAACGGGCTCCACGTGCCAGACAACGCTATACATTACAGGCGGGTAAAACAGGCGGACTATATATAGGCTCAGGTTATATAAGGAACAATGTTGCAAGGGCAAAGCCATTCTGGACAATCACATACATGTATGTGATACACAGTGTCTACAGTTTAGGTGTCCATTGTAAATACGTAAGACTGGACCCGCCCACCAAGAATAACACAGACCTTAACTCGATGCACAGACAAAAATTGGATGTTGAACCTCACATTTCTCCAATTCCTGATATTATTGATAAGGAACAATACTATAAAATGTACATTTGATGTCTAATGTTGGAACAATGTAGCAGACATTACTTACTGTATCAGCGTATCTTAAGTGCCAAGAATGTAGGAGGATCTCCCAAGGAATTTCAGGGACAGTGACCCATAATATTTACGTTTGTTGTTCGCCATGACGACGCATACAGACGACCCAGGGAGGACTGATGTGTGTGAAGTGATGAGGCACATATGGACAGGTGTGTCTTGTCTGAAAACAACTGCATTTATCAATGTACAATCGCGCCTTCCATGTTGTATAGAAAACACTGATCATTCAATTACAAACCTAGTTAAAATTGCTTCGTCAAATTAAACAGTCCCTCGTATTGGCTGAAATTTAACGGTTGTTGGTTTCTAAATTTCACAAATAAGTTTCTTTATTTGGGTGTCTCTACAATGACCTAAGTTAATATAATAAGTTACTGCCGATCACCATTTGTTAGATACAGATAAGTTTCGATGGTTTAAATCAAAGTTAGTTTCTATAGTGATTGGTCGAATAGTGACCACACACTACTGTATAGGTAACGGTATTTATTTGTAAAAAATGGTCTTCGGGCCATCCTCGTTAAATAAAGAGAAGTTTATATTCACAGTTAATCTGTTTTGTCTGACTTTCAATGTTACATTCATTCTTTCATGGTCACGCTTACTCCGAAATAAAATGAGAATTGCAGACACATTTGCAGGAAAAGCAACTTCATTGAATACATGCTTTTCCATTATCCAAATCGTCTTCATTATTTACATATACACATGTTTAAAAGGTGTAACATTTACTTACGTAAGTCTGATCAACAGGTTGTCCCCTTCAAGGTCACGAAAGAGCATTCCAAGAATGTGCTGCACTGAGACATGTTGTCTATACCGTGCCTCCGGGTGACATAGTCCGACCGTCCTAGTGTTTACATCCCGCCTTCTGTAGAACATGCCTCCTGAAATATAGGTGTTCAGCAATACGACCAATTAAATTAAATCACGTTATTGTCGTAAATTATGATGTCACACTGTGACCTCTAACATTGTACAGACATTGCAGAAATACTTATCGACAGCTTTTTCCAGCATCAGTAAATACGAACGTCAGTAAATTACATTAACCATCACATTTTTGTAATCGACACTTTTCCTTACGCAAGTGAAGGCATATTTCTCTCCCCTTGCCTGTCATGTTTGCTTTGTTGAAGCCCATCCTTTATCTTGAATCCCTCCTCTGGAAGTGTATAATGGACTATCCCAGAGGATAAAAAGAAGTGCGAACTTCTCTAAAGCAGGGGATTGAGTTTTGGCTTGTTTTTTTGGCGTGTTTAAGGCTTTTTTATCGGGCTTTCTTTGTGGCACTGATATCTTTTTTTTTACGTTGGGTTGGCGTAAAAAAAGATACCAGTGCAAAAAAAAAGGAAGCATGATTTAAAAAAAGCCTAAAAACACGGCAAAAATTAGCCAAGCCGCAAATCTCTGCTTGGAGAGTAAACTTCACCACAAGAAGAACTAAATTTGTTTTCCTAATACCTCCGCAAGATATTTCCCCAGAGGGGATCTTGGCTTGCTGTTGAGCGAGCCCACGAGGAAACACGCGAGACAACAGGTGGGAAACCAAAGTACACTTGGCAGTGAACTTCAAAGCGTCGCGCAGGGGTATCAGATAAGGAGCCTTAAGTATGCTGTCCTCGCTTTGTGATCACAACGGCCGCGTGTTGTGTTAGTGAAGTATTCTGTTCGTGTTTAAAAGATCGTCACCTTCCCCGATGTCGCGTGCCCACACCTGACACGAACCATATGTGGCGGTATAAACCACGCCTCGCTGCAGTGTTGATGTTGATGCGTTGCCATGGCAACAGGACGACATTGCCGTTACTGCCAAGTGCAAGGTCGTGGCGGACACGCCCATGTGACCTTGATTGTCCTTGCCCACGCGTCGGGCCGCCCGCCTGTCAGCCCAGACATCCTCACTCCCAGTCAGACATGAGTCAAACCACATGGGCTGGGCGGGGATCAAATATGACAGGCCAACAGATAACGTTAACTAGTTTACAGGAATCTTGATATCATTTGAAATCAACAAAACTAGAAGTATCAATGATGTCGACTTCGCTAGCTTTCATCAGGAATGCTGCTTAGTCCTCAAGCTCACAAAACTCCCATGCGACTCATTTCATTTGTACATGTCATGAGTATTTCTTTTAAAATCCATATTGGCAGTCCTACCTTGTTCTATCTATAAACCTTCATCTAGACGAGCTGGGCCATTTTCCCTTTTTTGGTCACCGTGCCCTTACTCCTGTTCGTTTGCGTGCGGTGAGTCAGATTGCAACCACTTGCTGAATCCGTCACTGGGGATCGGGCCAAGTGCCGAGGAAAGACTAGAGCCGATGTTTCAGTGTGTGGTGCGGTGTGCGCCGCCCCTGCAGGCCGCCGACAGCAGGTTCTAACTCCGCTTCCAACTAAGGCCATGTTGGTTTGATTATATGGATGGCATCCACGCGTGCATGAATTTTCGTTCGTTGAAAAAAAGAAGGTTTTCGACCACATTGTATGTCGTACAAAGCAGCTGCAAAATGAGCAAATTTATGCTTTAAGGCCATGTTGATTTGCATCCTCTGGGAACGCCAGACTGATGCGAGCGTGCGAATGCGAATAAAAGAGGTTGCCTTCATAATGAAATCTCGCTGGTTGAAGAAATGACTAAACACACATAGTATGGTGTGGCTAGTAATAGACCCTTCTACAACAAAAAGGGTTTGCTACTCTGGGGGGGCTTTCGAGACGCACTCTCTTCAATTTCTTTTTTTTTTTCTCACATTTTCTTCTTTTTCTTTTTTATACAATGTAGTATAATAGGAGTTGATTTTTTTGCATTCTACGATTTCCAATATTTTTTACGGCATGATATTTGCCCATTTTGGCGCCGATTTGTACGGTTTACAGTATGGTCGAAAACTTTTTTTAAGTCATCTCATGACATCCATATAATCAAATCAACGAGGCCTAATATGCAGCAGGAGAAACCTGTTTGCAGCCACCCCCGGTGTCACCGCAAACTGTACAGGCTCCACAAATATTTGGCGGGAACACACCGCCGGGTTCGAGGCAGGGTGCGGAATTCTTGGCCGGGACTGAGAAAAGACAACATTGAAAACGGCGTGTCATCAAGTAGCTAGTTTATAAAACCTTCACTTTGTTTTGTAAAAAAGACTCGGCTTGTTAGCTGCTTTGTTTCAGTTCAAGAGGAAAACTTAACATCAATGTATTCTTTTGAAAATGCTCATCTACTCAGTAATTCTGTGCAATGATTAGTGGATACTCCCAGTCTCAGTGTTCTACTTAACTGACTACTTGACCTGGCTCATGAAGAAAGGAAAATGACGTTAAGCAGATGTAGGGTTCTGTCATGTCTCAGTGTTTTACGCGTTTTGTGGCACATGGGAGAAGGCAGAAGACAACAACATGCACTGGTGAATAGATGCACTAAATGCCACAACACGAGCGTTAAAGTAAAAGCCCGAGACTGACTCGAATCCTACATCTGCTTGAAGATCAAAAGAGCACGCCCAAGAGATGTACAGTAAGGTTACATCACTCAAGAAGCACTTTGTCCTTGACCACAAAACAGACTACAAAGGTTTGCAAACGGAAATAGAGGAGATTCAATCAATCAATCAATCAATCAAATGGTTTATTTGTAAAAACAAAACCTTGTAGCCATCAGCTAAATTGTGTCTTGCTGTACAATTTTGATTTTTGACATGTCTGGCATAACACACTAAAATTACTAGTTACTCAATAAAATCCATATCATTATACATTGACATACTTAAAAACAACAGATACAATTTTAACATTAAAACTAACAATTACAAACATATATTAAGTACTTACACAAAAATATACAAAATAACTGAGACTAGAGGACAGACTAACCTCCCTAGAAATATGATACACATTATTTGGAGGAATTGTTCAATATGCGAACCAGGTATGGTACTGGAGAGTTCTTATATCTGTTGGTTCTGTACTTAGTAGCTTTTAGCTTTTCAGAGTTCCTTGTGAGTCTTCCTGAGAGTTCACCCACCTTAGGAGGTAGGAGATCAGGGTTCAGTTTTGTAGCAAATTTAAGACATAGGTCCTCTCTTCTGTCCTTCAATGACTTGAGTCCTGTCAACTGCAGGGCTGCGTCGTAGGAGCTGTATTGTCCTTTAAGGATTGTGCGCAGAGCTCTCTTCTGAACATGCTCCAATCTTGTGATCTGTTTGCACGTGAGTCCAGGATTCCATACAGGAACACAGTATTCAACCACAGGTCTGACAAATGACGTATAGACCAGAAGTAAGTCCTGCACTGATACATGGAAGTTTCCCAATCGCCTTAACAGAAAAAGACGGCTGTTTGCTTTTGAAAGCATCCCTGATACATTAGCTTCCCATTTCAGATCAGACTGTAGTAATACCCCCAGCAGGCGTGCGACAGCCACAATCTCCAGTTCTTTCCCGTTGATGGTTAGGACCATAGGTGGGGTGGGCGAGTCATAAAGCAGAAGGTCATGACTTTGCACTTGTCTGCATTGAGAAGCATGAAGTTTTGTTCTGACCATTGGCTGAATTTCGTCAGCTCCTCTTGCATTACGGACGGTTGTAGGTAGTGTCTCGATTCAGCCATTGATAAATCATCTACAAACTTCCATTCTGAGATTGAGCACAGCTGAATCACCTGATAGGATCAGTGTACTGATCTTGCACGGTGGTTTGTGCTGTGCAATGACTAATCATCTAATGATCACTAATTTGAAAACCAACACGGGAAGGGAGACTGGCTACGTACGAAATTTCAAAATATCAAGGACCTAAAACTCAAGTCTGTTACATACACATATCTGAGAACACGTCGTCCACACTAGGCCTACCGTCACTCATTTGGCTATTATATTGTAATGTATATTTAGTTACATCTTTATGATGATTATTGTGCAACTGGAGCTGCCCTTCATTTCTTCTTTCCTTCTTTCCATCCTCCCATCCTCCATTGAAGCTTCACTGTATACAATATGGTATAAGAGGCAAAGTACGAATTACTGCATTTATCTTATCGCTGTTACATCATTTTGCTTCAGAAATGAAAGAACGGTTCTTCTGACAGTGTCGTTGTGTCTGCCACTTGTTCCAGAGTAGGCAGGGAAGAAATAGGAGTAGCGAACCCGGGCCAGTAATGGCGGGATTCCAGGCTAGCACAGGAAAGCCTCAATGATGTCGATCTAACTAGTTCATGCCACACTAATTCAGGTCACAGAAAGGCGGCTCTCCCTTTACCCACATATGATGTACAGGCCTACCTCACTGGCGGAACGATGGCGTCTGACTTTGATGCTTCAAGTTGAAACAATCCGGGACTGGGCAGCCTTTCTGAGTCCCAGCAGGCCCAGATGGTCACACTTAACAACTTATCTCTTTATTTGTAGGTTGACCTTATCACACACAACCCAGTGAGTCTGGGTAAAAAAAAGGTGAAAAATTGGAGCCTACAGTTTAAGATTATCATCAAGATAAGGAGGAGGCGAGCAGGAAAT